CAGCGATAAAATCACAGGATTATAACTTTTCTTGAGATATGATTTATTGAGGAGACTCATCAGAGATGCAACAATGATAATACTTTTAAGAAAAAAAATCTTTTAAAATTTAATCATTTAGTATTTCATTTGCAACTTGCCAAAGTTTAACAAGAAGATTTTTAGTTTAAGACAAGACCCAAATATCTTATATGGTTGGAAACTCAGTCCTTCAATTATTAAGAATAACTGACAAATCTTATAGAATAGATTATCATCATATAAAGATAGATTATAATAGCCAAATTTTGGTTAGTGACCAAAATGTAAATTTTGAAAGTTAAGTGGTTAAAGTATACAATTTGAAAAAATTAAGGGTTAAAGGGTAATTTTCCAAAAAGTTAGGACCAAAAGTGTAATTTTCAAAATTTAGGTGTTTTGACTCCATAAATGAATAGTTAAACCCCAAGAATGACGTTTTGGTGGGAATCAGATTTTTGGTATAAAATTTATGTTAAAAGCTATAAAGTGTTAAAATCAAGTAAAAATTTAGTAAATTGGATCGAATAGAAATTTTGAGAAAATTTGAAGGATATTAAATTAAGCTTAGAAATATTATTTTTATATTTTAAAATGATGGAAAATAATATGGACAATTGGATTTGAAAATTTATTTCCATGATCAATTTAGATCATTGGATGAAAATTGTAAGATTGAAATTCTTGGAAAATTGCATGGATAAAGTTGTTAAGTGTATAATATTTTGTTCATCTTTAACTTTGGAAGATGATAATTTACATGTGATTTGGTATGAATGTAATTATCAAGTTTTATTAATGGTAAAATTGTCATTTTCTAATTAAATGAATTTTAAATTAATTTAAGCTTAATAAATGATAAATTAACATGAAATTAACTAGAAATTTCATAAAAATAAGGCTTTCTTCAACCTCCATTTCATGCTCCTCATAACCTAGGTAAGAGAAATTTTATTTTTCATTTTTGAGTAATTTCCTTTGGATTTTGGATCGAACCATGAAATAGAAAACTATTCTATTTGAAGAGCTTTATCATTTGGTATCATTATTGCATGCTAATATTGATTGAATGTTAAGTTCCCAAATTTTAATTTTTGTGTTCATGTTAGGGTTTTGTGAATTGATGATGAATTTTAATGATTTTGAGGTCGTGGAATCATATCCAAGCTTGTTTAATGATCAAATCCACCTAGAAATGTTATATTTATTTTTGGCCTAAACCCTAAATCAGGGAAGGTTTGTGATTTGATGAAATTGAGTTAGGGGTTTGATTGCATAGGTTTTAAAATGTTGAATAGAGGTTGATTTCATGCTCGAATCAAATTGAAATCAACTGAAATCATGAAACATTACCCCCCTTAACATTCGGCCTAAGCTTTTAGAAGTGAGAAAAATTATGGAAAATTTATGCAAGGGTGGAAATGATGTAAGAATGATCATACAAGCCTTTAAAAGATATTTAGACCAATTTGTAATTTTGAAAAAGTTAGGGGACCTATTCAACAATTTTTGAAAAGTTATGGGGTTGATGTGTAATTATTCAATAGATTAATTACTATGCTAGAAATTGATGTTAGAGTGATGAATTTGGTGTTAGAATGTGAAATTTGACTATTTTGGGAAGTTGTCAAAGTTTGAGTAATAAATGGAAAATATTGAGAAAGTTAGTGACTAAAGTGGTAATAATAGAATTTTTGAGGTATTGGGTTGGAAATTAGATGCTGAAAATTTAATTAAGTTGTTTGAGACTTGTATTGAAATAAAAGGGCAAAGGACTATTTAGAATAAAATGGAAAAGTTGAGATGAATTATAAAAGAATTCATAAATAGTAGTTAAAATGGAAAGTTGAAAAAGTTTATGTGAAGTTTGGGTGAATTTAGATAAAAAGGGACTTGAATGGTCAACTTGAAAGTGTTAAAGTCAACATTTATGTTGTGACATGGAATTAGTATCGAAGAAGCATCGAAATATCTTAAGGAATTTGTTTTCTTTTGTGTGGCTATGTTAGTGAGATTCTAACATGTGGTTAGAAATGAACATGTTTTGTAAATGATGTTCATTTAGATTGTGAGCTTGAAATCAAGATCAAGCAATGTTAAAGCTAAGGAGAGCTTAAGGATTAAATGTGAATTTCTAAGGAAAGTTGCAAGTTAAGGACTTCAGGTGTGTGCATATTTAATTTGTATTTATGATATCGTGCAAATATTAGCTTGCAATGAGCCAGTGAAGAAGTTGCTATGGTAAGAAGTGACTCCTAAATGTTATGAAAATTTCAAAGTCGGTCATTGTGGTATGTATGGCAATTTTCAAAGTCGGCTATTATCCCATGATTTAGTATGTGCACTACTTTACACCAACTTGGTAGTTCATTGTAAGATGAATCCCACTCATTGTGAAGTTTTTTAATGGCATTATATTTTGTCTTCTATGTTTTCCCGTAGGAGATGGTGTACCGCAATAGATATATGGGAGTTTGCTTTGATCATAGGCATGATGGCTTGACAGATAATATCATATTCCAAGTTAGGATGGTCCTAGTTGGTCCCTCTAGCACAATACGTATGAGGACTGTCGTATATTGTTAGTTCTCATATGTTGTTTTTCATCTTCCTCTTCGATACATGAACCATCCAGTTGCATTCATTATCATGTTGGACACAGTGGAAAACATACATTTCGGTGGTGGATCGGTCAACTATGGAGTGAGCAGAATTACAAATGTTGTAATTCTTTATTTCAATCATCGCTTCTTCTTTCGATGGAAACACTATTCCGATATATAACTCACAATCATTAACTGATGAGTTAAATATATAGTCACCAACATCAGACATATCTGTAAATTCTGACCCGTACATTATATCATAGTCAACTTCATACATGTGTGTTGGAGGTTCGGTGTGTACTGTATTCGTAGGAACTTCATCTACATCATCATCATCGGAGTCCATGTTGAACTGAGGTGATTCTGGTTCAACAAATAGTCCAATCTCATAATCATCTGCACCAGGCTCACGAAGAGATTCTTCTAGTGGAGATGAGGGTTTATATGTGATACCGATATTTAGGTGTAACAAGTTGGTAGTTGAATGCCTTCCCCTTGAACTTGAAGGCATAGTGTCATACGGGTTTTCAACTTAGTGTTGTGTCTCATGCATCTCCACATTGAGGTCGAGGCATCTCGCAGTTAAATGTCTTCCCCTGGAACTTGAAGGCACCGTGTCAAATGGGTATTGAACAAATTGTTGTGTCGAGGGCATCTCCATATTAATGTCAAAGAAATTGGCAGATGAATGTCTTCCCCTTGAACTGGAAGCGATGTTGCCATACGGATTGTTCATGAAGCCACTTCGGTAGAGATTGTAACAAGTTGTTGATGAAGGCCTCCCCATTGAACTTGATGGGATGGTACCAGGATGTGGATTTCCCATTAACGAGTTAAAATCATTACACGTTACTTGAGTTGGGTTGTCAACTTGAGTAGCTTGTTGAGCTAGCCCGTAGTGGGAGCATAATGACATACCACAAACTACATATACTTCAACAAATATGGCATACATTTGTGTAACAACGTCTGAATTTTTATTCTGAGCATCAACCATCATAGGCACATCGTCATCGTTGGAGAGTTCGAATGTTGTACAAGTTAATGAAAATAGTGTAGTTGGAAATTTTTACTAAAGTGATGACAATATTCTACTACTTTCAACATGAATCTTCCTTGAAATTTTAGTGATCAACTCCTCAAGAGTGATGTTTCTCTTAAAGGATAAGGTGACAGAATAATTTGATGCGAAGATAACGTCGGTTTCATCTTCCTGAATTTCTCCATCATAGTAAACAATAGATGAAATACGCTTCATTTTGAGAGTTTGAAAGATTGAAAGTATTATATCTACAAAAACGAATAATTGTTTTTAATATACAATCATTTTTCTAATTAAATAAATAGTATACACATTAAAATATAAACTAATACTAAAAATTAAAAAATATTCACAATAATTTAAATAACCCAATTTAATATTGTTATCGTATCAACAAAATGTCTCGAGATATAATATTGCCTTCTATTTTACAACCGCAAATAGTAATAAAAAATTAGTACAATAAAATTTAGTCAAATAAATTAAATATAAAATAAATATAATATAATAAAAATAATTTTACCTTCTAAAAACTGTAATAAAATTTACTTGATAGAATGAATTTATAGAATGAAGAATGTGAATGTAATTTTGGTGTGGTTTGATATTTGGATTTGGGGTATTTATAGGGGAAGGGGAGGAGTCGTCCGAGATTTAAGGGAGCTACGATAATAATAGAACGAGCAATAATTGAGGAAAATAGTCGAATGCACACTTCATGATCCGCGTCTTTCGTCTACGTTTACAAGGCATGTATCCTAAAATGCGATTTATTATCAATTATGGGTGCTAGCTCGATAATATTTGGAGAAAGGGTGTCCCAGAGGTAATTATTTATTATTTGAGTGATTTTTGGGTAAAAACGAATACTGCTTCATTATCAATTATGTGTTAGATGGGTAATATTTGAGTGTTGACAGATAATTATTAATTATTTGGGTGATTTTTTTTTTGTTGTAAAAACGCCTGACATTTAAGTGAAGTGAGCATTTCTTTTCACTTGTGAGTGTGTTCATCAGCTGACATTAAAAATTACAGACGGGGTTCGATAAATAGTTGTTTCCTGGTAACGTAATAGTCTCTTATTCGGCAATAATGCAAACAAAATAGCTCGCAGCTAATGCTTTCGTTGTTGTAGCCAATGTGTTTGATTAAATGCCTGAAAGAAGAGTATATCACAGAATTGGTAATTCCTCAGCGCCTGCCATTATTGCACCCAGGAAGCTTGGGGTATTTGCAGTCGGATATTTTGTGAACTGCAGGGTTTTCAACTAAACTTCTGCAACTACTTTACTTCATTTATTACCAGCAAAAGCTATATATTATATAATAAATACATTAACCCATTTTCGACTTCACCCTGAAAATTACAAAAATATTTCTCAAAATATGAACTTGAAAGAAAATTAACCTAAGCAGAAAAATAGAAAAATGATGATAATAAAGGGGTAGGAAACCGGGAAAGGCAGCCAGTTCTGAGACCAACATTGACAGATAATTAAAGACAAGGGTTCCGTACTAGGGACCAGACATTGAGTTCGGATGACTCGTTGAGTCGACTCGGTTGGTCTTCAGTTGGTAATGGTGGAAGTTGCGGTGGTTTCGATGGCGGGCTTCCAAGCTGAGGTTGTTATGAGTGGGCGATTATGCCATCCCAGCATCAAACACCCGTTGTTCTCCTCGACACCGTACCCTTCCCCTCCGTTGAACAGGGCGAGGAGCATGCTGGCTTGCTTGAACGCGTTGGAACCCAGGTGAACAGGTGAGAACCCGGCGGAACCGAATCGGTTTCTCCACTGAGTCAACGACTCGTGCCTCTCGACTCTGTCCGCGCCTTCGCAGGCCACCACATTACAAATCTGTTTCCCCAGATACACCTCCGACATGACCTTGTCCTGACAACTCACCGACCCTTCCAACGAATCGAACAGCGTCGAGTAATAATGCAATGCCTCGGTGAACCGGTCTAGGAAAACCAGGCCATTATGGTTCGCTTCTTGCTCGACGATGGTAACAATTTCGGGTTTCATTTGTTTCACCACGGAGAAGACTTTGTCAATGGCACCGGGCCAAGCCAACAATTTATGTAACTCGAAAACCGAGTTAACGGCAACCGCTTCAACTTCACTCGGCCTGAGATCAAGCATTGAAGCATCCAAATCGGCCAAAGAATTAGCGACGAACCCACGATACTCGAACTCAACGTGAATCTTTTCAGCTAACTGAGCCAACTTCCAGCCAACTTCCTGCAAATGATCCGAGTTGTCGTGGCTAGGAGGCCCGATCCCAGTTAACCTAAAAGCCGGCGGACCACCGGCTCTTAACGCTAAAGCTTGCATCAAAGCAGGCCATTGCATGCCTTGGTTCATCGAAAAATCGATAACATGGACGCGTTTTTTACCTTCAAAAGCCTCGAGAATCGCTTGGTTAGCTGTGAAATGAGCGAACTTGAGATAAGGGCAAGCCTCGTAAAAGTGCATGTGAAGAACGTCTGATAAAGAGTGGTCGAGTGGATTTTGAGTATATAGTCTGTAAATCCTTCGAGCTAATGCTTCGGCGAAATACGTAGCCACTTTCCTCATAGCCCCAGCTTGAGAGATCGCTAAGAACCCAATTTGTTTCACCAAAGCTTCGGCCAGATTTAGATTGTTTTGCTGCACAGCTTCTGCACATGCCATCAAAGCATGAACGAGTCGGATTCCATTTTCTTGTGAGTCGACAAGGACAACGGGACGAACTGAATCAGTCGGAATTCCAGAGGAAACAGCAGCAGGCGGAGGAGGAGAGAAGATACCCGAGTGCGACCCGGATGTGGATTTCAAACGTTTTTCGGATTTAACGTTGTTGTTGTGGGTTGAAGACGACGACGAATCGTGAGTCTGGGGTTGAGTTTGGGTGTCTTGAGAATAAATAGCCTTACCGGGAATGGCTTTGAGATCATAATCCGAGCAGGAAGCTTCATCTAAGATATGTGGCCCACGTTTCTGATGTTTCCGATTGTTGTTCTCAATATCCAACGTAGTTAAAGTAGACGACTCAGCCGGGCCACCGACGAAAGGATCATCTAAAGTACCCATCACACCCGCCGTCGTTCCAGCAGCACCAAAAGGGTCAAAACTAGATGGAGGGTTAAATTCCGAAAGCATACTTTCGAGCCAAGTCGAAAGATCGGAAGGATTAAAATGAACAGTTTCAGAAGCAAGATGCGAAATCCCATCATCCTGAGCAATACACATAACTTCCTCCAACTGCTCAAGCTTCTGGGCCACTTCGGCCATGTCCGAAGTCTTGACCTTGTAACCCAGAACCGCCAAGAGCTCATCCATTCCGCAGTCTTGTTGGGCGGCTTCTTCCTCCCAGAGCTTCGCCTTTCCGGCCGAAGAACCACCGCAGAGGGAAGAGGATGGGTTGTGTTGCAGATGATTATTGTCTCTCTTCATGGTTGATTATTCTCTGGGTATCTATGGATTTGTGTGGCGATTGCTCAAAAACCAAAGTAAAAAGATGAATGGGCGAAGAATCTGAGCATTGGGGATTGGGGGCGTTTTGCTTGGTTTTTCACTACTACTCCTACTTCATCATCAGAGCAAAAAGATTAACAATTTAATATAAAAAACTACATTTTTAAAAAGGAATCAAATAGAAAAAAAAAACGCTGTGATGGGCGCGGCAACCAATGAACCACAGAGGCTAACTACAACAACTACAGCTCAAACGAATAAGATGGAATATACGTTTCTACCCTCACTTGTTTAAAAAAATATTTTTTGAGATGTTTTAATTTTTTAAAAAATGTTTTTTTTTTGCTAAAAATGCAGTACAACTATTGTGGGGCCTGTTCAATGTCATCCCCACTTCAATTAATTCTTTATACCTTTTATAGACAGCCTTTTTAAAGAGTGTAATTATTTTTATTTTACAGCTGAATTTCTATTTGGTTACTATGTTTTAACCACTCACCTCCCCCCCCCCCCACTGTCATTTGATCAGTAAAGTTACTGACTCTTACTAAGGGCCTCCCTACCCTATCCTCCTACGTCATATTTAAATATAAAAAAATGTTCTATTACTTTTTATTTATGATGGTCGAATGAGTTAATATCGTACAAATATTAATGGATTAAAATTAAATAAGAATTCACGTGACCTCTTATCTATAATCCTGTTTTTTAACCCAAGGACTTGGAACTGGTTTTGGTAATTAATGGGTGCTACGGCCTTATTGTTAGATTAAGGGGAAGAATCTAAGCTTTGATCAATAAAAGATAATAACTTCAATTTACAGCTTAGGACCAGTTTAGTAGCGTAAGCTTGTAATTTAATTAAAGTGTTACTATTAGAGTAAAGGTTACGAAATTAGGGAAGAGCTTAAATTTTTAAGAACTTTATTCAAGTGGGAGATGCCGTATTATGATTCATGGTTAAAATTTAGGGTACAATATACAAATGGTCCAACTATATGATACTATTTTATTAAGTTTTTTAATTATTAAAAGTTATAAAATAGTCTCTTAATTATAGGGTGTTGTTTTGTTGAGTCTATCAACTATTAAAAGTTACAAAATAATCATTTGACTTTTCATTATGTTCCAAACTCATCATTTTTTATTAAAAATTAGTAGCGGTCTGAGATATGATAGTCGTTTGAAATTTTGTAATCAGATTTTATCATATTTTAGATAGTAAACTAACATTCAACTCGGACTACTATCAATTTTTTTTAATGAAAATTACACGATTGAAATATAATAAATAGTCGAGTGATTATTTTATAACTTTTAATAGTAGAGAGACTTGATGAAGCACCATCTCATAGTCGAAAATTATTTTATAATTTATATACTTAACCCTAAAATTTAACTATTCATTATAAAAAAAACTGCTGTAAAAAAGTTAATATTTTATATGCTTCAAATAATATCATATTATTAAAAATGAACTTTTAGCATTTCAAATTTAATATTCTATTTAAAGTCAAGCTTATCTTAATAAATTTAGCTTTGATTTCAAATGATTTTATAGTTATGTGTTGAAAAAAAGATTGTGCTTCAAGTCAAATACCCTTTTTTGGTAAAATTTATAAGGCACGTAATGCACAATTACTGGGTTCGAAATGAAGGGTGTAAATCACATTTGACAAATTTAACACGTGCCTTTAATCTACTTCAAATTCGTACTCGATTATACGAGATAAATAACATATTAAGTATTTTTATTCATTAAAATATATTTCAAATATAAGAAAGAATAAGAGAGGGAACACGTGTACCCTAATTGAGGATTGAGTCAGTCTGTCATGCAAAACATGTGGTTTAAGAGTGATGTTTTAGTTCAGTGGTTAATTTAGTTGAGTGGTCGAATTAACCCATGAAGCAATCATGCGGCTGCCGTGCCATGCTACATTCAATGAAATTATTTTTTATTTTGGCGAAAACATAAAAACACGTTTTTGGTTGGTTCATGCATGATGGCCGCAACGTGAGGGGTTATGCTGCCAACTTGTCTCTTACCCGACATATAATTCGAAAAATTATGTTTTATATTTGAGTTAAATTAAGACCATATATAGTTGAGAATAGGTTTTGTTGATGGTAAAATATAGGTTAGGATGATTGAGGTAGGTTGATTTTTTCTTATTTGGACGAGAGATTTCAGCGCGATAGAGAGTAGGATGAAAATTTAACTCAAAATCGATGGATTTTGATTCGATTGAGCTTGATGAGATCGGAATTTAAAAAAAATATTAGATCTAGGTCGGGTCAGGTTTAGGTAGAGTGTGAAAAAAATTTTGTCCGACTAGGGGATAATAATGTAATTTATTTAAAATGTTTTATTTTTTTTAATTAAGTTCTTATTGTATATAGGGTCAGGACAAGACAGTTCAGATTTATACTCTAAAAATTCATGTCAAATAAGAGTCGGATAGAGGAAATATATTTTTTCGGGTCGAGTCGAGTTCAGGGGTAGGATACATATTCTTCAAGTTAGGTCGAATTTACCAAAAAACTGACCTAATTCGTCCCGTTGTCATCCCTAATAGGAAGAGTAAGTGTAATTATCTCCCTTAAAATTATTATATATTTTAAATTTTTTATATATTTTTTAAAAAAAAAATCTATTTTTGACCTTTGAAATTATAGAAGTTCATCCATTCCTAATACATAAAAAAATCACTCTAACATACATTTATGTATTTATCTCCGAATTTCAAGTCTAACATAAATTTATGTATTTATCTCCGAATTTCAAGTCTCTATTTAATTTAATATGAGAATTTGTATATTAATCTTAAATTATAATTGATTGGAGGATTAGAATCTCCAAAAAAAATTATTAATGAACAAAAATTTCCAAAAAATTGTTGTGGAATTATGTCTTGTGGAAGAGTACCTCGACTCGGTATCAAACTTTATTTATATAATGACATAATTTTACCTATAAATTATCTCCAATACTCATCCACTTGATTTGCCTTTTTTATTTACTTTATTGGTTAATAAGAAAGAGATTGGTTTTATTTAAATCTCCAACACGTGGAAGTCAAATAGCACACGGTTAACACACGTACCGGAATTGAGATATACTTATCCGAAGATAAAAATTAAATTCCCCCTTCATAAAAAGGGAAATATTAAAATAAATTGATAAATTGTAATAAGGCGTCAACGGACTCAGAGGTTCACATGAATGATCAAATATCTGTTTTATGCCTGCCCTACAGGACGGAGACTACTCGACAAAGACGGCCCCGCCGTCAGCGTCAGCCGGCCTCGCACTCCGTTTTAGTTAACGGAAAGGGGATCTACCAATCTCCGTCCCGATCTTAACGCCGTTAGATAGGTAGCCCCATTAAATAATTTATTTTCCTTCTCAGCTCTAAAAATCTGAAACACTGTAGTTTTTTCAGAGGGGAAAAGTTTAAAGGAAGGAAAAAGGGGTCTGTGAAGATAACCCTGACAATAGCACGGAACAACGTGGATCTTACACGTGTGAAAATAACGTGTTTTGGTGAGAGAATCAGTACTTGGGTATACTATTCCTGATTGGTGGGCAGACACCATTCGATGCTTACACGTGTTGAGATTCCCCGTCCGGTGAGTGGGATCCACCTCTCGAACCACCGTTTGGTGGAGGAGGAGGAGGAGGCCGTTCGCCTCATTGTCCCGGAGGAGGGTCAATCGTTCGATTCACTGACACCTGTTTCTTTTCATTTTCCATTATACTTTAGTTGGCATAAGCTTTATGTAATAAAATTATCTTAAAGCGATTGAATACTGTTAATAAAAAGAAATATAACTATTTATATATCGATCACGTATATCACCATTAAATAATATAATATTATTATATTAAAAATTAAATAAATTTAATTTTAAAATTTTATACATTATAATGATATATCATTATTTGTTTATTAATGACACATGAAATTATACAAAATTTATTTATTTAAATAATAAAAAGCCGCCTGCAAATAAAACCTAACCCATCCTCCATATATTGTTTAAACAAAATAATAATAATTGAGAAATAAAATAAACCGGGGGATTCGGGTTTTCAGCCAACTTAAAGGTCTAGGCTTCCACGATCATGCCAACTTTACTTAATCTTAATTAAAGATAAATTAATCTATATGTTAAACTAATTGTTTTTTATTAATTCGAGGTATATACAAAGTAATATTTATTTAAAGATAATTTTTAAATCTCAACCATTTAATATCGAACATTCATACTTCATACTTATAATATTCATGATACTCGAATCAAAATCTTAAAAAATAATAAATCTCTTTTATTATTGAGATCGTTCATTTCATACTTAAACTAATTGTTTAAACCTAAGTTAACATCAATAATGTATATTATAATGTCATGATCTAATGCTTAAAATATTGTAGCAGTCAATCTCGTTGCATGAGGTGTATTTTGAGTAAAATAATGGAAGACGACTGTAATACAAATTAAATTAATAGGACGATAATTAAGGTGATTTATATAGGGAGAATATATTAAAATCTTCCTAAAAGAACGTCGTTTTCAGAATAATTATATTTTTATTACGTATTTTATACGTGGTTTTAAAATTTTCATCCTATAATTTGAATACGTCTTGCACTGGCAGTATATGTAACGTACAATACATAATTTTGCATAACTTATACGAAATCTTTGACTTTTTAATGTGGTATACATTTAATGAAATCATTTATTTATTTAAGGTTCTTTTACAAAAAATGGCCATTAAGTTATTAAATCCTTTTTTTTTTGGAAATTGGATAATTTAAAACCTGGAAAACCTTAATTTAAAACTTAATTAAGAAAAATCATTTTTATCTTTTTTTTTGGGTTATAATCATTTTTATCTTTTAAGAAATCTAAGAACTCGAACACTAAAAATCATGGTCAATTCATGGGAATGATACATTTTTTCATTTGTTTTACTAAAATATACCCAAACAACATTATTAACTAAAATTACATCTTAATCTACGTTGAGTAGTTTGATATACCAAAAATGAATATTTTTGAAGAAATTTTAAGATTATTTTCGATTCGATTTTGAAGTTTATATTTGATTAAATCATTCAAATATTGATTTTTTTTCAAGGTTAAAAACTTAATTTTTACTCCTTATTTTGAAAATTAAAGTGATATA